ACGTCACAAATTCATCAAGTCCCAAACTAACTCCTGTTTTCTTTATCCATACCCTAAATTTACTCCTCCCCTGGTCTTCATCTTAGTAGATGACAACTCCTTCCTATCCCTCAGGCTGAAGTCATGGAAATCATCCTTGACTTTCTTCTCTATTTCACAACAAATCCATCAACTAATCCTATGGATTACTGTAATAATGTCTATCTAGTGTCCTCTGTTTTTGTCCTTCCTCCCCCTCACTCATACCCCAAATGTATTTTCCACAGAGCAGACAGAATGGTCCTTTTAAAAGTTGTATTATGTCATTCTTCTTAAACCCTGCCAATCGCTTCCCCCTTCCCACAAAAGGAAAGACAAAGTTCTTCAAATGGCTTATAAATCCTATGTGATTTGGCCTAACTACTTTGATCTTACCTCCTACTATGCACCTGTCTTACAACACTCCAGCCATACTGATATCCTTGCAGTTCCTCCAACACATCTGGGATGATCTCGCCTCAGGACCTTTGCATTTGGTTCCTCTCATAAAATGGCCTATCTCCAGGCATTCCCATGAGATAGACTCTGCTCAAATGTCATCTTATCAGAGAGGCCTTCCATTACACTCTATATAAAAAGCAACTCCTCCTTCCTCTCATCCACTCTCTCATCCTGCCCTAAAACTTCCTCTCTCTCTCACTCAGCTTTAGTTTTCTCCAAAGCAACTTTCACAACCTTATCTGTATGTTTATTATGTCTTCCTGCCACCCCAACGTAAGCTCCATGAGAGCAGAGCCTTGCCTGTGTCATTGCTGGACACCCACCGCCTACAACAGCGACTGGCACCCAGTAGCCCACAACAAACATTTGCTGGATAGAAAACCATAGAACAGAAAATTTAATGGAAAGACAATTATAGGGACAGCACTGAAAACTCAAAAAGCTAGGTTGAACCTCAATTCTGACTCCACAAAAATTTTCCCAACAACTGCCCTATTCTGCTTTCTTACACCCCTCTCATAGCCACCCCCGAGCTGAAGGTGGTAGTAGTAGAGGTAGAAGTTAGAGGTGAGACACAAAAAGTGGCAGGGAAGGCAAAAGTAAAAGTGTAGCCCAACCCACGGCTGGCCATATTTGAGCTTTGGTTGTCTGCCCTCTTAAGGCAGGGGAAGGAGGGTAGCCAAGTAAATCCCACAGGATGTCATTAAACAACATCGTAATAGAGAGTTTGTTGGGGCTCAGTTGTTAAAGCATCTGCCTTTGGCTCAGGTCATGATCCCAGGGTCCTGGGATCGAGTGGCAAGCCTGCTTCTCCCTCTCCCACTCCCACTGCTTGTGTTCCCTCTCTCACTCTGTCTCTCTCTGTCAAATAAGTAAATAATCTTAAAAAAAAAATAGAGTTTGTCATAAAATAAAAAAGAGCTTGCTGGCTCAGCCAATAAAACACCGAAGACTCAATCTTGGCAAAGTACATTCATGCTAGACACTGGGAACAATCTTTAGTTTGGAAAGAAGCCAAGGTATAATGGTTAAGATGCCAGACTTTAGAGACATACTGGTTGACTTCAAATCCAGGCTCTGCCACTCACTACATGGCCTTGGACAAATTACCTCATCAATCTGGGTCTGCTAAATGGGTATAATAATGTCAATCTCAGAGGGATATGGAAGGATTAAATGAGATAAATGTGAAGTGATCAGCCTAAAACTGGACAATGTCAAAGGGCTCTATAAAAAAGTTATTGTTATGGGGCGCCTGGGTGGCTCAGTGGGTTAAGCCGCTGCCTTCGGCTCGGGTCATGATCTCGGAGTCCTGGGATAGAGCCCTACATCGGGCTCTCTGCTCAGCAGGGAGCCTGCTTCCTCCTCTCTCTCTGCCTGCCTCTCTGCCTGCTTGTGATCTCTCTGTCAAATAAATAAATAAAATCTTTAAAAAAAAAAAGTTATTGTTACAGTTCTAAAAATTATGCTTCATCCCCAGCGCAGTGCAGACCGAAGGGAGACCAATATTACTAATAGAAGGAAAATGTATTCTTTTTATGATCTTTTGACATAGATCTCATTCTATAAGCATATTAGCTCTCTTAACTATACCATGTGACAAGAGACCAAAACTGTCTGTAAACCTTGGTATATTTTATTGCAAAGCTCCCCCTGCCTTGTTCTTCCCAACACCTCTGAGAAGTCCTAACCACAGATAAACACAGAAAGAGAAGTACCGAAATAGCCTGAAAGTCCAAGTGAATGAGTTAAAATGGGAAAAGAGTAATGATACAATGTTACACTTCCGAGAAAAAAAAAACATCTGCCTTATAAGCTAAAGTAATAGGCTACAGCAAAAATATGACAAAAGGTATCCCAATGTATATTCTGATCCATATGAATCAAACTGGTGTCTTCTGGAAACCATTTTAGAATACACAACTGAAATATATGTTAAAATTACTATCAGGAAAAATCTCAGACAACAGAATTTTATTTTTTAAAATATATTCATCCTCCAACTCTAAATGGCTTTATGTAAAACACTGGTCTTTATGATTAACAAAAAGTATGTGTCAATTCCTGAAAGCAAAGTGAAATGATAGGAGAAACTTTCAATGCTATTACAGCCATGAGTATGAACCCCAATTCAACAATCTGTCTTTATTAATTTCTCTTCATTTCATCTTTGTGAAAAAGGGGAGGGAAAAGTAAGAGGAGAGAAGACTAGGCATGACTATCCTGCTCTGTAGCATCTAGCTTAGGGCCAGGAATAACAAAATACAAGTATTTGTTAAGTGCTCAAAAATATTAAAATCCAAATAGGAAAACAAATTTCCTAACATATACCTGGCATAAATATTGGGGGAACATAACACTGATGCGCTATATATTATAGTATAATCTAGTGTTTACATAAGCAGGTTCTGAAACAATCTGCCTGATTTTGAAATCTCCCTTAATTTATCAGCTGGGTGACTTGGGCAAGTTACTCTTCTGCACCTCGATTTCCTCATCTCTAAAATGGGGAAATGGTATTTTCTTCATAGCATTGCTGTGATGGTTAAATAAGATACATGAGGTGCTTAGAAAAATATCTCACTTAGAATGTACATAATAAATGCCAGCTGTCATTATAGAACAGAAATTAGTGGCTTAATTGAAGAAATTTTCATTGAGAGATAGTTAAGCAGAGTTCCAAATTTATGTGCAAAGTTATTCATATCAACTGCTAAAGTTGTATGCTTAGATTCAAGCATTCAATGAACAGTGATGTTACTGAATACAGTTCTGGGGATTACATAGGCAGCTTCCTCATTCCCCCTCCTATACAGCTAACCACTCCCCACTCTTGCTGGAGCCCAGGCATCAGTTCATCATAAAATTAGATCCCTTCCATGAATGAAATTCTTAATGCTTAAAAACAGATAAAAAGCAAAAAAAATTTGTAAGTTTAGCAAACCAACCACTAGTACACAAGTATAGTAGAATGCTTTTAAAGTAAGTAACTCTAAAATGCACAATAGTGAATCAAGGTGGACTGTGGGTCAGGATGGAAGGAGAGAAGAAAAGAAAAATGGGCAACAGGAGGAATAGAAGACTTCAGAGACCTATGAAAATTTAATTCCGGAATATTCTTCCTTTCCCTTTGCTATAATTGTAAGAGCTTTTCTTACATATAATATAACATATAACATTTTGCAATATTTAAAACACTCAGATTTTTGTAAATTCATTTTCCAAAACTCTTGTGAGGCTCCATTAATTTGTCACTTAAAAGCAATTCAGAATTAAAAAGAAACATACACAAAATAAAGACCACATTTCTGTTATTTGTGGGTAATTTTCCCCCCACTACTATCAAAAGGCCACACATCTGGCAGTTGTTTTTTCAGAGCCAATGATAGATACAGACCAGCCACCTTCTCTTCCCATCATGCCTCCCCCTAGTTATAAAAAAAAAAAAAAAAGAAAAGTCTGCCAGGGTTCCAAATGGTAGGTTTTCTCTCCAGGCCAATTGACACTTGAGGAGACCCCCCACCTTCTCAGCTTATTAGCACTTCACTGTAGAAAAAGAGCAAATCTACACTAGTGATTGTTTAAAAAAAAAAAAAAACTGTTTCTTAAAGCCAGGCATTTCTTTATAATCCGCCCCAAACCCCTCTCAAATATTCTATATCAAAGGTGTGTCCCCAACAGAGTCCAGCTCCTCTCTTCTTTTACACCCTTTGGAGGCCTCCCGAGAAATCACACCTTTGGTCAGCAATTCCATGAATCCTGTCTAGTCAAGCCAACACCTCAGCTGAGTCTTCAAGTCAGGTGTTAAAAACGAGCTTAATGGGGGCCAGGTGGTATGCCCACTCGCTCTCAAGTTTTTTGAAAAAAAGTAGTGATTTAAGACGTTTACAATGTACTAATTACTAATTAAATCCCTTAAAGGGCTGTGCACAGGGGAAACCTCCAGTTTAATGCCCCCATTTTTTTGAAAAGGAGGAGGGGAAATCCAAAATTACATATTTAAATTCCTCCACACGCTAAAAATCCTGTCAATGATGAATTTTAAAGAAATACCTACTATGTATTGTATTATTTATATATAATTGCGTAGAAAAAAGGTAGCACACAGACTGCAAAATAGTGTTAATACAAATATATGATACATAGATCCCCTCTCAAAAAACAAAAACAAAAACAAAACAAAAAAAACCACCACACCCTCTGGGTGGCTTCCCAGGCTCGCCGGGACCAAAAAGCGTCACGCTGTCCCGCGGCCCACAGGGGTCCCAGCAGAGGCCCAGACCTTCCACGCAGAGAAAGCTGAGTCGCCGGCGCCCCAGGGCAGGCGGGCGCTCCGGGTCCCCCGGGGCTCCCCCTCCCCCGGGCCCGCCCAGTCCTGCCCTGCCCCGCAGTCCCGCAGGCCGCAGCCCGGCCTCTCCGCGACCCCGGCGCCGCCCGCGGGAACCGAGCAGGGGCCGCGCAGGGGTTCGGCCCGGGCGGGGAAGGGCGGGGCGGCCAACCCGCTGGGGCCCCAGACTCACCATGGCTGAAGAGCTGCGAGCGCGCCCACAGCCCGAAGTCACAAGCCGCCGGCAACGCCCGTTGTCCTGGTGACGCCAGCTGGGCGCCCCGCCCCGTTCCCAAGGTGGGCTCGGAGACGGCCATTGGCGGCTGTAGAGCACGTGACGTGCAGGGCGGTGCCGTTGGACCGCCCCCACGCCCCCCTCCGACCCTTGCCTCTGCTCCTGGGCGGGGGCTCAAGACCTCGTACACTCTGCATCTGGACCATCATCAGCCTGATCACCTTGACATCCCTCACCTGACAGATAACCCCCGCCGCAGGCTGCCCAGATGGAAGAGACCTTTGTGGATTTACTTTATTTAAGAAACAGATTACACAGGTAATACGTGATTATTAAAGACATTTTAAACTAATGATAGCAAGAATTAGAAAGAATAAAACCACACTAAATCCCAGCACAGGTAACTACAGCTTATATCCTAGTTTATCAGCTTCCAGTGAAATGTACATTATAATATATTGTATTCTTTAAAGTGAAAGCAAACCGTCCACACTTTTATAACCTACTTCTTTTAAAAATTATCTTTGCATGCCAATTCATGGAATAGCATTGTGTGTGTATACCTAATTTATTAAATCAATTCTCAATTTGTTGGATGTGTTTAATATGGTTGAAGAGAACATTAGATATCCGCAAATCCGGCATATTAAAATCTATGGAGACATGTTCAACAGCCAATCTGACACCTCCCTTTGAATGTCTAACAGGTATCTGAAACTTAATATAGCCGAAATAAGACTGTTGTTGTTCATGTTCACTTGGCCAGCATATAGTACATCATAAGTTTGTGATATAGTGTTCAATGATTCATTAGTTGCATATAACACCCAGTGCTTATCATGTGCCCTCCTTAATACCCATCACTGGGTTATCCATCCCCCCACCTCCCTCCCTTCTGTAACCCTCTGTGTTTTCCCCAGAGTCCAGACTTTGTCATGGTTTCCTCTGATTTCTTCCCATTCAGTTTTCCCTCACTTCCCCTGTGGTCCTTCAAGCTATTTGTTATGTTCCACATATGAGTGGAACCGTATGATAATTGACTTTTTCTGCTTTACTTAGTTCACTTAGCACAATCCCCTCCAGTTCCATCCCTGTGGATGCAAATGGTAGGTATTCATACTTTCTGATGGCTGAGTCATCTACCACTGTATATATGAATCACATCTTCTTTATCCATTCATCTGTTGAAGGGCATCTCAGCTCCTTGATTCAAATGTCATACTCTCCAGTCTTCTTCATCCCAGCAAAAGTTCCCTCTTTCTCTTTGGCTGTTCAGGAAAAAACGCTAGGAATCACCCTTAATTTTCTCTTTCCCTCATACCTCATGTTCTGGACTCTATCTTTAAATAAATCCTAAGTCTATCCATTTGTCACGATCTCCACCTCACAGTCACCATCATCTCTTGCCTAAGTTAGTCTCCATGCCACCTGTCTTCTCTCCTACATTCTGCAGCATCTCAGTGGCTTCCCATAGCACTTAGGAAAAAGATCCAAACTCCCTCTGATGGAGATCTTGCTTCCTGCACTAACTTCATCTCCTACCACTCTTCCCTCATCCAATCCACACTAAACATGCTTTATTTCCTGAGGTTCCTCAAACATGTCAGACACTTTCCTACTTAAGAGCCTCAGCAACAAACTCCTTTGTTTTTTTTAGAATATTATTCCTCTAGAACTTCACACTGCCCATTTCCTGGTTTGAAACAGGTCACTTATCTCCTCAAATGTCATCTTCACCGCAGCCTTCACTAACCATTCAATCTGAAATATCTCACCCTGGTTACTCTTTCTCACCACAGTCTTTATAACCTCTCTTATATCTGTCCTGTTTTCAAATATCTAATGCCCCTTAAAATTATCTTTCACAATTTTTGGTATATTAATTATAGACTGTCTCTTCACCCTGGAATGCAAGATGTCTATGTTGTTCCCTCTCTGTGTTCCTCCTGTTTAGAATAGTTTCTGCTTATAGTGGTTATTCAATATTGATGATTGATTGAAAGAACAAACATATATTCTCAGACTGGATGGTCAGTTTGAAGATACAAGTAAGAATATGACCTGTCAGGGCACCTGGGTGGCTCAGTCATTGGGCATCTGCCTTTGGCTCAGGTCATGATCCCAGGGTCCTGGGATTGGGGCCCACATCGGGCTCCCTGCTTCACAGGAGGCCTGCTTCTCCCTCTCCCACTACCCCTGCTGTGTTCCCTTTCTCTGTGTGTCTCTCTTTGTCAAATAAATAAATAAAATATTTTAAAAAAAGAATATGATCTGTCAAAGTAGGGAGTGTGATAGAAGAAAAACTGTAATTTTATTTTACTTTTTAAAAAGATTTTATTTATTTGTCAGAGAGATAGAGAAAGTACAGGCAGGCAGAGTGGCAGGCAGAGGCAGAGGGAGAAGCAGGCTCCCTGCAGAGCAAGGAGCCTGATGTGGGTCTCCATCCCAGGACGTTGGGATCATGACCTGAGCCAAAGGCAGTCGCTTAACTGACTGAGCCACCCAGGCATCCCGAAAAACTGTAATTTTAAATTTTATCTATTATAATATGAAATATACATATAAGTAGTAAAATATAAATGTACAGTTTTTATAAAGTGAACACCTATGTAAACACCATCTAGTTCAAGAAATAGAACATTGCCAAAAGCCTTCAAGAGTTCATGTGTCCTTTCCCAATATTAACCCCCATCCAATGACCACTATCTTAATATTTATGAAAAACATTTTCTTGCTCTTCTTTATATAGTTTTTATAGCTCATTAATTTTCATTTCTATAAGGCATTGCATTGAATGTATGTACAAGAATATATCCTTTCAACTGTTGGGCATTTGGGTTGCTTGCATCACTTCCTGTTTAGGACTATTATAAAACAATGCAGTTGTGAGCATTTTCCCTGGGCCTGTGAGTACTCATTTCTCTAGATGAGGGTTTCTTGGCAATTTGATATTTAGGGACAGATAATTTTTTGTTGCAGATGGTGGGGGAACAGGGTGAGAGGGAACTATCCTATGAATTATTGTAGGAGGTTTAGCAGCCTCCATGGCTTTTACCCACCACATGTTAGTGGCATGGCCTCAGTTGTGAAAACCAAAAATGTCTCCAGGCATTGCTGTATGTTACTGGAGAAGCAAAATTACCCCAGTTGAGAATAACTGATCTAGGGTAAATAACAAGAAATAGAATTTCTGCTTTGTATATCTTTAGATTTACCGCATAGTACCAAACTGTTTTCCAAAGTACTTGCAAGACAAGTGACATGGAATTAGTAGAGAGCTCCAAGAATGGGTCCCTTGCAAGAACTGGTCTTCCCAGCAAGAATTCTGCTAGCAGGGGTGCTGGGGTGACTCAGTTAACCAGGTGTCTGCCTTTGGGTCAGGTCATGATCCCGGGGTCCTGGGACTGAGCCCTGCATTAGGCGCTGTCTGCTCAGTGGAGAGTCTGCTTCTCCCTCTCCCTCTGCCTGTACTCCTTCCTGCTTGCTCATTCTTGCTCGCATGCTCTCTCTCTCTCACAAATAAGTAAGTAAATAAAATCTTTTTTTAAAAGATATTATTTATTTATTTGACAGACAGAGATCGCAAGAAGGCAGAGAGGCAGGCAGAGAGAGAGGAAGGGAAGCAAGCTCCCTGCTGAGCAGAAAGCCCGATTCGGGGCTCGATCCCAGGACCCTGGGATCATGACCTGAGCTGAAGGCAGAGGCTTTAACCCACTGAGCCACCCAGGCGCCCCATAAAATCTTTATTTAAAAAAAGAATTCTGCTAGCAAAAACAGACCAAAAAAAGTTTTTTGGAACTTTGGGACCTAATCAAATACCTGTGTCAACCAGCAAGTGCTTAATGAGGAAACAAGCAACTGAATTTTGGTAGAAGACATTATGTGTTTTTTGCTTACCTGCCTAGCATCCTTTATTCCCCAGATCAACAGCAGCCTTGTGGACAATGGCCCATTCCTGGCACAATGTATTGGTGCCAGGAAAAGCAATATGGACCTTATTCTAAAAAAACTGTGGTCATGCATTTGACCTGTCTAGTGGTTCCTTAAAGGACCAGCACAGAGACCGATCTTTATTTTGCCTGCCTCAGGTTAGAGTGGCTTTCTGAGTAGGATCTGATGGAAGCATTAAAGATATAGGTTACCCATTGCTGCCTGGGGCAGGTTATGAAGGATGAGGCAGTAGCAGACAGGCCCAAAAGCCTGGATATAAGGAAGCTAAGGAGGAAGAGTCTTAGGGGACCCAGAGCAGTGGACTACCATGTACACTGGGGGATATGGAATGCAATGTGCATTCCCTGGGGGGCAGAACATACTCAGAAAAGACCTGGGAGCACCCTAGATTTACACCTCTAACTGATCTTTGGACTCCACTTAAGTAGTTAGTGAGGGCTAAGGCAGAGTTGTAGTCAGCTTGGGTTAACATTGAAGGAGTACCCTAGCCCGGAGCCAATATGCAAAGACTAAGGGAGGTTTGTTTTTTGTTTTTTCTTTTTCTTTTTGTCTCCAGACATTTAAAGAAATATATTCTGTTGCCTAGCTGACTGCTGGGATGACAGAACGAAGCTTCAGTGAGCATGCAGGACAAGGCTTAAAATCTTTGCAAAAATAGTTTGGAAATGGACAACAGCAGCCTTCAACAATCACCTCAGAAAGCCCTGTGGAAAGGGAGAGATTCTATAGAGATGGCGAGTATATTTGTTGTTTAGGACTAGGGGAGGAATGGATGGGGTAGAGAGATGATAATCTGAGGGATATGAGGTTTCTTTTGGGGGTGATGAAATGTTCTAAAACTGTGGTGATGTTTGCACACATCTGTGATTATCCTAGAAACCATGGACTTGTACAGTTTAGATTGGTGAGATGCATGGTATGTAAATTATATCTCAATAAAGAGATGTTGTTGTTGGCTCATACACATTCTTAACTCTAACATATTCTTGGCAATTTATCTTTGTATGAATATGAAATATCTTTCTTGGTCCTGAACTTTTCTCTTTGAATCAACTTTATTTCCCCCCCACTTTATTGATGTATAA